AAAAAAAAAGAACAAAAAGAAAAATGATTGTTGATTTGACAACAAATTATTAAGTGCTTTTTTTGATCCAAAAATATCAACTGCTTATCCGTTTCGATTTTCCGCAAGCTGTGTTATCGTTAAACGTGTTCAGTCATTTGTAATCTGAAAAGAAAATGACTTCCATTGTTCAGTATTATCAAACTGTATTAAAAACTAAAGGTTTTGAGGAAAAAAAATAATAGAGCGAAAGATAGTTACATAAAAGTAGGTTCCGGCAATTGGTGTTCCAAGTCGTCGTCCTGTATTGCTCCTCAAAAATTCTGGTACATTTCTGTACTTGGAGTTTAGGTCAACAGTTACACCAACGTATAGCCTGGTTAATGGTTCAACCGTCTTAAATACCAATACGACCCAAAGTTTTCGATCTAAATGCTTGTTGACAGCAAATTTGTTGCTTTTTATTTGGATGGTATATACAGTTGTAAAGAAAATTATTTGTTTGAAGAAAAATTGTAATAAGGGGCATTTTGATTCTTAAGCTATATTATTAACCAAATTTTTTCTTATTATTTTGGCTTACCTTAAGCCGAATTTAAATGAATTCGGATTTATCAGCTTAGGATTAGTAAAAAAATGTTGCTGCATAAATTACTGTGTTGAAAATGTAGTTGTTCAAAAACTAACAGTTACTCTTAACTTGATGCGGATTTGTAACTGATGGTTGATTGGCAACAAGTTTGCTTAGAAATCCACCATCAGGAATCGGTTTTTCCAAATCCAGAATCCTTCCTTTTGGTGCGCTACGATCATAGTACAACTGCATATTCTCGGTATCACTTTGTGGATCTGTAAAAGTCAACTAACGGTTCTTAAACGGTTCCTTGAAATGGTGTCCGCCTTATTGATTATAAATTACTGACGACAAAACTGTAACTGGAAATGTGTTTTAAACAGTACCAAACAAGATGACATGAAGATAGCTGGATTTAGTTTGCTCATGGAATAGCGTAACTCTTTTCAGATACGCTGGTTCCATCAGTTTGTATGGTGCTAATACAAAGTGATCACCAGTCCGAATTTCTGGAGCATTGTTCATATCGGTGGTGTAAACATTCAGTGTTACCTGAATGCAGAAAAAAAATTGAGAAATTAAAGTGACCGAATTTTTACAATTTATAACGATTGTTCCAAAATAAAAGTTTCTGCTTTAAATTTTTGAGAAGAATTCTGTGAACATTCTTACATAGTCAATAGCAGAAATTGGTGGTGAAGGCACAATTCGCGGCGAAAGGCCAATTTCCAGAAACACTGTAAAAATTAAATAATATTTGACCATTTTTTTCATTTCGCTATCAAATAAGATTATTTTTTGTAATTAAGAAAATTTTTTTTTGTAAAATTTATGAACATATCATAACTTGTTAAAAAACTTGAACACTTTTTTTTTTTGATGTACCTTTTCCAAACGAGTAAAGTGTTGTGGTTTTACAGCACAGTGATCTGGCATCTTCAGGAAGCAGATGGCCATTAGCTGCTTCTACGCATGTGTAATCGTATGGGCAAATATTGACAATTGATGGATCGCATAACATCACTTGTGGAATTTTATACGGAATTGCTCCATTTGGACAAACTTTAATAGTTCAAGGATCAGTTGAATTAAATTTGATTAGAACAGCAATACTGTTACATTTTCTTCAGATTATACCGAATTTAAACATGTTGCAAGAAAGGGAACTGTTTTTGCAATTTACTTGGTTTAATTTCATCTGATCGTAGTTTTTCAAGCTCTGGTGTGTCCTGCACAATGTCGGAGCAGCATTTGAAACCATTACCGCCGTCTTCAGCTGCACAAAATGGATTCCTACCGGTACAAACATTTGGTGCATTCGGTGAACACGGAACACCACCAGCGCCAACATATTCGCTGCATAACGATATTGTTGGCACATAACTGAGTTCTGTGGTTTGCCAACCTTCCGTACAGTCTGTAAAATTAAGTTTATGTTGAACGAAGTAAAAACAGCAATAATTTAACTAAATTTTCATTTTTTTTAGTTTTTTCAAGTTATAAATCAACAGAGGTGTCATTAATTTTTTTTTTCATAGTTTGAACCAGTTGGAAATAACAATACCCGGTCTATCAGGTGGCGGTATCGGTGGTAGCATTTGTGCAGTTATGATGTTGACAAATAAAAACAGAAGAAACATTGATGTTCAGCGAAAACAGTTATGAATTGTTCAGTAAAGTAAAAAAAGAAAAAAACAAGAAAAAAAAAAGAAAAAGAAAATTTTATATTGAAAATGATTATTAATTTCAAAATTGGCAAAAAATTGCTGCAATAAATAATCTAAAGTCAATAATTTTGTTGCAAAACAAAAAAATTTTTGTACAACTTCTTCCCCTTGCAGAATTGAGGATAAATTAAGATTTTTAGATTACAGTCACAGCACAACAAAACAGTATTTAAAAAATTTGCTATGACAAAAGACAGGAATTTGATTTTAACAAAAATATCATTATTTATTCTATTCTACAGATTAATACAGATTCCTGGTGTATTGCTTTTGACCCGATAAACATTCAAAGGGTCAATAAGATTGCTTTAAATGGATAGCTGACCAATACTGCTGAGGTGTTTTCATCGGTGTCAGTCACAGTCAACAAATAGTTTACAAATTTTAATTTTTCTAATTTTCATAATCAAACAACCCTGTGATCAATATAAAATTTTTCACAACTAAATTTTTCATATTTTTAATATACAATTTTTTTAACTCATTATTTGATTATTCATTGGTAAACAAAACAAAAAAAAAGGGTTCCTGTTTGAATAAATAAATAGAAAAATAAAAAATATTAAACTGGATTCACCAAACTTTGTAAATTAATTTTTTTGTCAAAAATTTAGCTTGAAAAACCAATTAAATTGTAAATTTATTAGAAAATTTTTTATGTTTTTTTTTCTCGAGTTTATAATGATGTTTGTTGAAGTGTTCTTCCTGCTGATCTTTAACCTGAATAGCATCTGCAGCAGCAAAACTAAAAAGTTAAAAAATATTCAATTTTTATCAGCTAAAATGCAAGACCGGAAATCACTGTGGTTTTTGAAAAACTTAGAATTGAATTTTTCAAGTGAAAACTGTTAATTAACATTTAACTAATAAAAAAAAACCACTTGCTAAGTTGTTGCTGTAATTTTTAAAGTAAACAGTGATCTCAAAAACTTTTTTTTTTAAATTAGAATAAGTAATTTATCTGTAAGCCAATTTGAGAGTGCACTTCAAAGAGGCTTAAAATCTTCAAATCTTATTCTTTTAATAAACTTTTTGTCACTAGTTTATTTCAGAAGTTATTTTGGTGAAGATTGTAGAGAAATTAAGGTTTGTAAAAACGCAGTAGCATTCATTGTTTCTCTATTTTTCGAAGCTTTGTCGACCAGTTGATACAGTGTCTAAGTGTTGCACAGGTTGATTAAATTATTCAGACAATTATCAAAACCTTATGTCAACCTAATGAATAATTGAAATATTGTTTACCTTCTCCTGGCTAAAGAAGCTTTATTATAAATATTATATTTGTAATAAAGTTCAGTTTTACCTCAGTTTACTTGACAGTAAAAATAAAAAAAATTTTATCATTTATACCAAAATTTTATGTAGGTATCGTACATTGTCATTGCTAAAAGGTGTTATATTTTTTTTTAAACTGATTTACTGTGCTAACATACTGAGGTATGATATCCATTAGGCAGCTTAAAAAGAGAATATAATCTGAAGATACTGCTGTCAAAGAAACATCTGATCAGATATGCTCTTATCGGCAATGTGAATAAGTAGGAAGAAGAAATTTTTTAACAGCATTGAAAATATTTAATGTTAGTATAAAGTCAAAAAATATGAATACAGTACTTTATTGTTTATTAGCAGTAATTGCTGAGGTTAAAGTGTAACAGTTTAAAGTGACAAATTTACAATAGTAGTATAAAGTAAAACACTATTTGAACATGACAAGATTTGACTTAACAATTAGCATACATAAATAAAAGAAAGAACCTCATAAATATAGTGACTAAATTAATGATAAAAATAGGTAGCAAAAAAAATATTCAAACAAGACATAAAATGTTGTTAACGAATCTAAATTTTAGTGAAAACTGATAATTATAACATTCACATCGTTATGCTCTTTCATATCATATAACTTTTTCTTTGCTTCGTTACTTTTTCTGTTTAGTAATTTTTTTATCTCTTTGATATAGTTTTTCAAGTCTTTTTTTGTATGCTGCCTTAGCTTTAGCGTTTAAAAAATATATATATTCATTAGTCAGTAAAGTTTAATTGCATGCATCAAATATTTGATTCTCAGAATCACTAATAAACTGAGGTATAAACAGTGATCTGTGGTATTTTTGTATTTCTTGAAATAAAGAAGCATATTCAAAGTCTCATGAATTATTCTCTCATAATACTATTACAATTTAGATAGTCATAAAAACTTTGGTATGATTATCAAAAACAGTAGATTTTTCTACGTAAAAGTGTAATAATTCAAAGATTTATACTGACTTATTTATCCAGTTTTGTTCTTCTAAAAATTATAGTATTTATTAGTGTTAATAAAACCAATAGTGCCACTGATCAGCTACTTTTAAATGAATCAGTAACTGTTAACAATAGGGTTTTACGCCAACAATCTACAAATGACATTGAAAGAAAAAAGATGCCAACATTTTTCAATTTTTCTACCAGATATTCTTGAGTGTAAATCATTTATTCATGTTTCAAAGTAGATTCAATAAAGGACAGAGCAAAAAAAGAGAAGCAATTGGCATCTAACTTTAACCTGTTTACTTCTATAGTAAATTAGTAAAAAAAGTAGAGAATGCGCCTTGTCAGTAAAATTGATCTATCAAACTGTTAGTGAAAGCTGCTCAAGCTGAAGAAAAATAAATTATTCTGATGGATTTTAAGCACATAGAGCTTTTTTTATGTAGAACTAACTAGGCAAATTTTGTCATTTTACAAATTTTATTCATCTGTTACAGAACTTTTTGAGTGTTTTAGCCATTGTCATCAAATTAGGTGTAATTACGGGAGCAGTTTTTACGACCGAATTCCATTAGCGTTTACCGTTTTTAAATCGTTTTTTCTAGTCGCAAGCAGGAAACTATTGTTTCGTACTCTGTGCAATTATCCATTTATTCGTACAGAAAATTTATTGATCTTGAAAATTTATCTGTTAAGTTTATTAAAAACGTATAATTAAGTTGAAAGCAAGTAAGGCCTTTTTTTTTATTATTAACATTTGATGAACAATTAATCCGATCGCAGATCTGATGTCAATATGGTGCAGTTTGATGACAGTAAGCGTCGAAGTAGTCTATTCATTTCATTTAGTCATCTGCAACATGGATACAGTAGTTTATTTAACAAATGGCTTTCTCTAATTTTTCTATTTGCTAATGTTTCGTTGAAGTTTTATGCATATATCAATAAGAAACTGTAACTTACATAAAAGAAGGTTCCAGCTACTGGATTACCCAAAAATTTGCCAGTTTCTGTTGTAAGAAATTCCGTAAATGAAGTATAATTTGCGTGTAGATCTTGCCAAGTTATTGGATGTCTTCTGGTCAACGGTCGTTTGGTTTTAAACACTAACACAATGTAAAGTTTACGCGCTGCAAAATTAACGGTTATCCATGTGCTGTAAATAGTTTCTGCATTATCAGTCCAATTTCTCCAAAAAAATAAAAATAAAAAAAATTTGCCAAAATTTTTTTACTTTGCCGTGTAGAAGTTTTATCGCTAGCAATTGTCAATATACGATTTGTAGTCCGGAAAAATGCACCCTCGTCCCAAGCAGGAACAGTAAGATCCACTTCACGGCTTAACGTTGATGGCCGATTATAATATAAATTCATCGCTTCTGGATTACCGTGTGGATCTAAATAAATATTTTGCAGACCAGCCTACAAATAACTATTTATCAATTCTTTCTTCATGACTCGTGCATTACAAGTTTTTAGAGATGCGGTTTAGCAAAAACAGTGTGGCGACATTAAAAAACTTACTAAACAGAACTAAAACATGGTGGAAATAGCCTGGAAACTGATCGTTGAGCAATACAACTTTTTTTAAGTAGACTGGCTCTCGAAAGTTGTACGGAAGTTTGGCTAAATGATCTCCAGTTCGTACTTCAGGTAAGTTACCTCTTGATGGCGTATATTCATTTAGAACTACCTGTAAAAAGCCAGAAAAAAGCTGCAGCTGCCTACTTACGGATTGCGCAAAACCACCAGTTAACTCTAGAAATTCTGAAGAAATAGATGAAAAGGAATGTTTGCAGTACGGATAACGACTGACATAAGAAATTGCTGCAGATGGTGCAATCGGTATTATTGATGGTGACAGCGACGTAACATAGAAAACTGGCATAGAAAAGTTTGCAGACAGCTTGTTGATACCAACTTTCGTTTCGTAGAAAACTGAAAATTTTAAAATTTTTTTGAGTTTTTTATTGTATCACTGGTAAGAATTAAATGAAGATATTTGATAGTGATGTTTGCTCTGTATTTCAAAAGCTGAAAGGAAATATAAAAAGTAAAAAGTTATGAATAGTAAAAACCATTCTCGAATGAGTTTAATGTTGTCGTTTTGCAACACAAATGCATATTATATGTGGCAAGCATTTGTGCATTGCTGGCTTCCTCGCAAGAGTAACCTTCTGGACACGGATTTCTTTCAGCTGGATCACATAGCAAGACTGATGGCGAATCATACGACGTTGCACCCCATGGACAGACTTCAGTTAATTGTTTTAATAAGTAAGGATAAATATGCTTTTAAGGTAGAGTAACAATTAGGTTAAAATTTTTCAGAACACAGCCTGCTAACAGAAGATCACAAAACTGTAAAAATATTACTTGGTTTGACTTGTTCAGGGGCTCCTGGTGGGTTAACCATATCTTGTGGATAGTCACTGCAACATCTATATGTCTTCGATCGTTTGCTGAGTACGCATACCGGATTTCGACCTAAATATTCTTTCCCAAGTTAGGCAGCTGACTGTTCTGACTAAATAGACAGTTAAAGCAACAAATTACCAGAGCATTCAACTGGATCATGTGGCGAACACCGAACCCCTTCATCGGTGGAATCAACACAGGAGCTTAACGACGGCAATATATTTTGATCAAAAGTTTGCCAAGGAAACGGACATACTTGAAATTATCAGGTATATTAACTATCAATTAAATTTTTTATAGTTATACTATCTTCCACATTCTATTTAAAACTCTTTTATTGAGTGATAAACTTGATAAGAATTGCATAAAGCAGTTTTTAAAACACCTCATATTTGATTCTGAACTTTGTACTACGAAAACTTTGTCTAATTACCATCAGTTTCTTCTTCATCTTCATCTGTATGACTTCGCAAGACAGGTACGCAAATAGCTTGAATCAATAGCAGCAACTGGAATAATTCTACCAGTTTTTTCATCTCTAAATAAAAGTTTTTTTTTTGTTGGAAAATAAATTACTGTTTTGAGTTACTACCGTATCATATCAAACTCTTAGAATACAGTTTTACAGGTTTGGCTTCGTAAACAAAACTGTATATAACTGTTATAAAGCCAAATTTGACTAAAGTAATTTTTGTTATCAACAAAAATATTTGAAGTGTATATAGAAGACCACTTTGACTAGAGTTATTTGACAATTATAGAAGGCAACAGTTTGCTACAGTAAACTCACAGAATGAACCCGATCCTCACAATAATCTGATAACATTTTGTGTAAAATAAATGTTATATGAAAGCAAAATGAAAAACTGTAGTAGTTTTGGCCAAATAAATGCTTTTTCTACAGTTATATAATGTAGATAAAAGAAACTCATTAATATCAAAAGCGTTCACAATAATTGTTTGTATCATTAACATTGCGAACAAACGAATTTTTACGGGCAAACATCGAATTATTTCCATATTTTCAACACCTGGACAACAGAATTGAGGTGTGTAAATATTGCATTAACTTTGCGACCTCAAATCCAACTAATCAAAAATAAAAAAGCGAAATTAAAAGTAAAACCAAAAAAGAAATGTAGAGGCAGTAACAGGTTACAGTAAACACTGATAATTTTGTGCTTTTTTTGGCCAGTTTTGTCAAATAACCGATGTACTCAGCATAAAAATGACAGTACAACTAAGTCTCTATAAGAAGACCAATTAATAAAAGCATCATCTAGATTCCTGACCGTGAAAATGATAACAAATTTAAATAGGCTATTGAAAAGTTATATTTTGTAAAATGCTGTGTAATAACAATGCCTTGTGTCACTTTTAGTTTCCTTAGTGTCCTAATTATTTCCAAATTCTTTCATTATTTTACACGAGTCTGCTTTTTGAGAAGCTTGGAGGTCGCCAGTTATTTTTGGGCCAATTATTAGAGTACCATCAGACGCAAGTTATCATTGCCTTGCTTTATTTAACAGTATTATCACCATCAGTCATCAGTCTTGTCACCAACATCAGTCAGTTGTCAATCATCAAAGTGCTAACTACCATAAATCTGTCTAACAATACAGAACAGTTACAGGAGATTGTCTTAAAGGTAACGACAAAACAATAAAAGTACTATAAAAACGACAGTTATTCAAAATGGTTACCATTAGTTGATACGACGTGCTACTGGCAGCGAAAAACTGATTATTCAGATCAGAAACGGTTTAAAATTTTTATCCAATTTTTTTTGGTTTTTTAGCTCTTCTTCGCTTGTTTAAAAATCACTTTTTTATTTTATAATAAAATTCAGTAGAAAATACATCGATCCAGAAGTGTACAAAATAAATATTACACACAGTAACGCCCTCTAGATTCCTCAACGAATCCTTTAGAGTTGATTGTTGTACTCACGCCCGGTAACGATGCAGTTTTCGATAGCGACCGTATTATTATTCACGTTTTCCACAGCTTCGATGCTCGAAAGTTTAGAGTGTCCCGGATACAAGGACTCTCTCGGAGGTTTAGAGTTCCACTTATATCAAATAAAAACTTACTCAAAATTTAAAAAGGAGAAAGAAGAAAAAAAGGAACCCGTTGATCGAAGGTCTATTATTTGGATAATTACCCTTACAGGAAATTTGGTATAGTCAAAAACGGGGAATATACAAGCTGCATACTAAAATTTCTAATGAAATTCCATACTTGATCTTCCAAAAAAATTAGAAATTACTGTCTGTAAGAATACACTTGCCTTGTTTTCAGCTTGTTTAGCAGGTTTATGTCCAATCGGAAGCGAATGCATCAACAATTTCTGCTGTAAGATTTGTTGTATTTTTGATGTCTTCATTTTCACATCATCTGGTTCCTTTTTTTTGAAAAAAAGTTTAGGAAAAAATTTTAATTCAGTCTTTTTTTATTTAAATTTGATTAGCTGCTATAAGTGACTTCTGCGCATAAAATTTGCATTTATGTGTCAACTTTTTGAAAACTTTTTTTAGGTGAAATTGATGTGAACGATACAACAGCTTCACAGAGTTCTGCAATAACTGATCCACCGCTGTCATCAACTGAAACTTCGATAACTCCGGACAGTTCAAAAATGATTGAACCAGAAATTGAAGAGTTCCCTCTAGCTTTAGAATGCAGCAACGGTAGACAGCCATCAGGAGGTTTACATATCAAAGTTCATTACGTTAGCAGTCAAAAAAAAGAATTTAATTCTCGCTTGTCCTACAAATTTTCGTCATCAGATACGCTTTTGGTTACATACATTTTCTCCAGGTAAAGAGAGCACCTAAAGTAGGATGCTTGCATTAGAACCTGGAAATTACTAACATACTAATACGAAAGAATCAATTAACATTACTTGAATTGTTTTCAACTCTCACATACTGTAGTTGTATGTCAACATCAATGAATTTCAGTGCATAAAATTTTGCAGCAGGATCTTGACTGGTTTAATGAACTCAGCTGCACATAAAAGAGTTTTATATCAACTGTTACATAGCGGAAAATCCCCTTTAAAATGTACGTAACTGAGAGCGTAACTAATAATGAAGATTTATTGTCATACTTCCCCAGTGATTAGTCGAGCAAACCTATGCAGAACCAGGATTTAATTCTCTATCTCAACTTCAATGTTAACCAAACTATTAATCAGTTAACTGCTAAGCTGTAGCAAAAAAACGTTGGAAAATTTAATAATTTATTTCTGTCAATTATCTAATACTTTTTCAAAAATTCTTAACCTTTTTACATATTTTTACCGCATAATTGGTTATCCCGTATCCAGGGAAAATAGCGAGACAGTACTCAACAAAAGTAGACTGACTGCAGAAATGCAGTGAAGATGCTAATTTCTAATAAATCAACTCCATAGCAATTTGAAAGCTTGTTGGTTGCCATGAAATTAGTAATTTGTCAAATCCTGGCAACAGTCTTCCCAGTCTTAATTTTGGATAAATGATTACCAAGGTTTCATCAGTTTTTTTATGATTCAACATACGAAACATTACATTAATCATTTCTTGGTTACCAATAAACAAAATAATCATCATCTTAAAGCAATACATCCTTTAAGCAGAAACACTATTCTTCGTTTGCTAATATGCACTAAATTAACCCTTCAATTTTTTAAGCTACTGTTCACAGTATGAACCACATAACCTCAATTTCGATACATACAGAAGCAAGCAACGAATAGCGGTAAAACAGATCGGTATAATAATCTGTAACGATATTACAACTCTGTTTGAATTGTTAGATTGATGTCGGTTCGATGAGTTTATTCTTGGACAGAAAGTACACATGCAAACTTTTGTTCATCATTTCACTTGATACAACACTGATATTGTTTTATTTTCAGCGTGTATTGAAGGTCGTTGTACAGATGGTTATATTTGCGAAGATGGAGTCTGCTGTCGTAAGTCTTCTAATGTTGTCACCTTTGAAAAAAGTAATTAAATGTGCCACCCATTCTAACCAAAACAGTTACCACTCAGATCATACTGCATTCATATGTACAATGCTATTCTCTCTAAAAGCCAAGGTTAATTCTAGTTTCAGCAATTCCGAAGCCAATTAGACCATTTGGTTTTAGACGTCGAACAACAACAACCAAAACGCCCATTTCAGCTACCAGTTCCAGTGCAGTAATCGTTGAGGAACTTCAGTGGTCAGCCTGTCCTGCAGGCGAACCACTTGGCAGTAAGAACTTACCTCTTTATAAATTATCTTAACCATTAGTAGTTGTAAAAATTGAGAAAAAAGACTGCTACAAAACAAAAAATAAATAAAAGAAAAAATTTTCTTCTTTATTATCCTGCTTTCAATGATTTACAAATGTGTAAAAAATGATGGCAATAATTTTTTTGTCCATAAACTTTTTCCACCAATTATTTTTCTGCGCGTATCCGTTACCCTGTCAATAATTAGTAGTCAAATTTGAGTACAATAAACATCAAATTTAGAGTGTATCAGTTATCGATGTCCCACCGGATATACCTGCCTAAATGACAGTTGTTGTAAGTTATTATCGTACAAAAATTTCTACACTCAACAGTCAATAATAAAATCGCTGAACACTGTCATTAATCAATACTTTTTTTGTATTACTCTAAATTTCTACAATTAATTCCACTTACCAATAAGTAAACGAAAAAAAAAACAAAGAAATAAATAAAAGAAACAAAAATTCTGTTTATAATACTGTTTTAAAGGTTCAATAACACCTGCAGTTAGTTGTTCGGATGTGCTGAAACGATGCGATGTAACAATGTGCAGCCATCGTGGATACTATGAATTTATGACCAGATTCTGTACAAAAACCTGTCGACGCTGTGAACGAGTATAGTTCTTCAATTCATTTATATAAGTAACTATTTCAGGGCAAAAAAAAAAAAAAGACTCATACTAGATTAGCAAGAAAAAATAAATAAGTAAAAAAGAAATGGTTTTCTTTTTGTAATATCTAAAGTGTTAAAGTAACATTAATAAATCATTGAAAAAGAGGCTTTTTTGCTCTTTAAAAAAATTAAAAATAATTTATCAGCTGTCGTTGCCTATCTGTATTATATCTTCTTTAAGAGTTCTTCACCAAAAAAAGATATTTATTTCAGTAACAGGAAAAAAAAAAAAACGAAATAAAGCAGACTGAGCAGTATACTATTTATTTGCAACCACACATCTAACAAAGTTAAGAGGTGAAAAATTATCAAAAAATAAAAAATAAAAAGAGTACAAAAAAAGTTAAAAGGAAAGAAAGATTGAATTCTATAAAAAAAAAAAAAAAAAATCAACTGGGAATCTTTTTTATTGTTCCCCTCTGAATTCGTTTAGGTGCTTCTGTTCATTTACATCTGTAAACTTCATCAGCCAAGTTATCTTCTACATCTTCGTCAGCATTCATCATTATAATTATCTTTTTTGAACTGTAGTCAAATTCAGTGATCATCGTCATGCGAAAAAAAAAAAAAAAAAAACTCCCTTTCTACCTGTGGTATAGCGTAAAAACCGCTGAACAACTAAAGTTTTAAAAATCATTTCATAGTATTGGCAGTCAAAAATGAAAAGAAAAAATCCATTCTTTTTTTCTTTGTGGTATTATCCGTGTATTTGAATTGGAAATTTCTTTTTTGCTTTGTTTTTTTATTTTTTTGCTGTTCACTCATTAACACAAATACAAATATACAAAACAAACATCGATACAGATACCGACGAACCGACACACATCATTTAATGTTGGTTGCTACACAAACATAAATCAGTCTAAAGCTTAAAGCATATATATGGCTTCATTATTACTAATTTTTTTTTTCTTTTTCGAAATCTATAATACCTTTTTGTTGCATAAAATTCATTTGAGTTGAACAAAAAGGGAAAAAAAGTTCATTTACACTAAGGTAGAGGAAAAACAAGACGATAGGATAGCGAATAAAAGAAGAAGAATAACGATACATGTAATCTAATCGATTGTATCGTATTTTGTCACCGTTGCTCCTCGATTCAACAACGTAAATAGTTTCTCCTTTTTTTTTTCTAGAAAACTTTACTACCTCTATAAGTGTTTCAGATGCCATATTTATTGTTTCGATTAAAGTCGAGGGTTTCGAAGATATTTTTATTTCTGTCTTTGTTACAAACAAACATAAATTCAACAATACAGTGCAAAAGTTCACTGAGTACATATCTGATAAATAATTCCATTTAATACTGATAAAATGTCTTTTTTCTTTACTGAGTTAAGAACTAAAGAAAAAAAAAAACGAAATTTTTTCAAATGCCAAACTAATCAGCTGTATTTGTTTAGGCAAAAGTGGTAAAAAGTTGTAGAAATTCACGTACTGACTGTGAAGAATGGGCTGCAGAAGGATTCTGTGAATCAACGTTATATACGACAAAACAAAAAAAAACACTGTGTGCCAGATCCTGTGATCTTTGTGATAAATAAAAGTTGAAACGGTGAAAAAGCGGACGGTTGCCCTCACAGATTTTGATGGTTACTGACGATCAACCAATGTTTAATGCAGAACGCTGTTAAAGCCAATATATCTGTCTATTTACCACTGTATTAATA